GAATAAAAATGTCAAAAAACGTCATAATATGTATGGAATAAAAAGTCATAGATTTGATTAGATTCTTTAGACTTTATTGTCATATTTCAGAGTACAGGTACACAGCCACACATCCAACAAGTTGAGTGAGGACTTAAGGTGTTCAAAAGCCTGTCCCTGCTCCACCGTCCAGTCAGAGGCACACAACTTTCTGCCTGACAGTTTATTCTTATGTTGTTTGCCTTTCCTTTTTTCACCCTTCAGCAGATCAAAGAGCAGCTTGGCAATGGCGGAGTACCTGGGCACGTGCTGATAGTAATTACCCATCGCCAAAAAGGACCTTACCCGCTTCTGATATGGGGTCACACCATCAGGCTCCATGAGGTCAGTAGTTGTCATGTTTTTGATGTTCTCAACCTTACTGGGGTCTGTTGAAACACCAGTCTCGTCCATTATGTGGCCGAGAAACTTGACAGACCTCCTGAGAAAGAAGCACTTTTCCTCCATCTCGCTCAGCACTTGGCGTAGCTTCTGGTACTGGCCAGGGGGCACATGGGAGCCTGAATGGTCTGTCATCTGACAGGTGTATGCGGTATACAAAGCCTTTCGCCTCCCCACAGTCAAGATGGTGGCGTGAAAAGACATCTTGATACTGCAAAACAAGGTCAGCCGTTCTCCTTTTGCAGCCCTCAGATACTTCACATGGCACTGCTCATATGCTAGACGATGGTGGGCTGGGCCACTCAGAGGTGATCGTGGTGACGTGGCTTTTCAGCTGTGTAGCACCACCTGTGTAGTCCTCAACTCTCTCTACTAATCATCAATCCTCAGTTGAACATCACATGAGGTCCACTCCTGCATTTGCTTACACGCAGGATAACTCTGGGTCGGGACAGTGTTTGATGAACATGAGAGCCACTTCATCATTCATGCTCTCTGTCTGCTTCCCTCGTCTGCGTAGGCCCTCAAGAGCTAGGTCTGCTGCCTTGTTCAGTCCTAATCCAATAGTCGACAGGGTTTTCTCTGTGCTTGGGAAGAGTAGGATAAAAGACGGCAAGAGGGAGACATGAGGGGGCTTCACTGAAATAGTGGAGAAGAACATCATATGACTTCAGGTTTCCTTTTAACATCAAGTGTAGGATCACTATGCAAGGCTATCTTCACAACATCCCTGGCCTTGCCCATTAAGTGGCAAGGCCAGGGATGGCCTTGCCACTTAATTTCTTCTGCTTGTTCACACACAGGAATCTCTTGTTTTCTGAGGTGAGTTTTATTCAAGTCAATCCAGTCCTGGACTGAGTATTTGTCAGTGCTGTAACCTCTGAATGTCTGGAGTACTTTATCAGGTTTAACATGGACTGTCACATGTGGAAGGTCATGGCTGTTAACTTCACATTATATGTTCTCGGTGGTGGAGGAAGTCTGGTGGTCACTATTCATGTTTACAACACCAGCTGACATTAGCTTAGCAACAACGGATTCACCGACTTGAGCACCTAACTGCCCTACCATGTCTGTGAGGGGGTGAATGGCATCAACATCACTGTTGGGTGTGGAAGTCAGGGGACACTCCCTCATTAACCTCATTAAGGGCTCTGACCTAACCCTGTTTCTGCACAACCATCAGGTGTGAACTTTGAATGCCCCACTGCCCCACTGTCAGCAGTATCACTGAACCAAGCACCCCTACCTTTAGGGAAAGTAGGACTAGCAAACCTATCCATTGTTATTTTAACAGCTGCTTTTAACCATTAATGTACTTGCGTTGTGTGTTTATAGAAACAAAATGGAGTAGAAAAACAAATCAAATGGGAGCACAAGAATAATATATGTAGCAGTAAACAAAAGTCGTCAACTAACTGAGGGTAAAAAAAAACAAACAAACATATACACATTGCTAAACAAGAGCTTTAAATTTTCACAGGAAAACATTTCACCCACGGTCAATTTTACGAACAAATCTCCTCAAAACCACATGGTTTTGTATGGTTTTATATATAAAAAGAGGAAAACAATGCCACCTGGTGGCCAAAGGAACACAGAACGTGGGGTGACGTGACTAAACAGACAACAAAATTTATAACTTAACAAAGAAAAACACATACCTGCAGAAGACATTAAAACACATTAACTGCCTCCTGGTCTCTCCTTTCTGCACCCTATACAAGCAAAACAACAGTGTTTATACTAGGGAATGCAAGCTGCGCTGCGTAGGTTGCATGACACAAGGCGAACTGCCGGATTCGCGCCAAAAAAAATGTGAAACTAAAAACGCCTGTAAGACTTACATTACCGGTCAAAACAACACAAAACCGCTTGGTGACATAATAATATGCAACTGAGAACAATATGCACCAAGGATTATAACATAAATAGCTCAATTTCCACAGAAAATAACATAATATCACAGCAGTATTCTCTCGCACAACTTACCCTCAGTAATGCAAGATGGCACTGTGGGGGGTAGAAGGGAGGAGCTACGGAAGCCCAGGGGGTACGGAAAAGGTAGAGTGCAAGCAGGTAATTTCCACAGGAAAAATTAATAAAATAACGAGTAAATAAAAATAATTAATTGAGATAAAATTCACAAATACTCAAAATAATCATTAAATGATAAATAAAATTCACAAACACAAATTGGAAATGATGATTAATAAAGTGCATTTTTAACTCTGTTACACCCACCCCCACTGAACTTTATCGAATATGAGCACCAACTACACAGTATACACCACAGAAAACAGCAAAAATTCACAAATTACCAGGGGTCATGAACAAGAAGACCAACACCGAATGTGTCCCATAAGGATGAAGTGGTATGAGAGCAGCGGTTATCCCTCAATCCAGCAACTGGTAACAGGGTGCCTTGTACACCCCACAAGACCCCAACCAATAGTGTAGTGCAGGCCCATGACACAGTATAAAATTAAAACAGTTGAACATTATATCAATACAAAAACTTTCAGACCCATAAGGGGCATAGGCTATCTGATTAAGATTTTGGTCAGCAAAAGCCTGAAACACAGATTTGCAAACAGCTTTAACACTGAACTTGTCCTGAACAACATCCTGCCTGGACATGGTTTGTATTAGTCTGTTCACAGGTTTGACTAAGCGACCAAATCTTGACCTGACATGTGTCTGTGCATTACAGGACATGGTTGATGTCTGGTCAACAGTGTGCAGAATGTCTGAGGCATTATCTGTCTATGTCATGGTATTGAGAGCAGGGTCTGACTGACTCACACTGGCTGGGATGTCCACAGCAGTCAAAGGGGTGGAGTCACAAGTCACAGGCCGATCTGTCGTGTGGCCCTCAGATGAGACTGGGCAGTCCTGGGGGTCAGACCTTTGTCAAAAAACATCATAGTATAGCAAGGTCATAGTATAGCAAGGCATAAAACATCATAGGATAATAAGGCATAAAAATTTCAAAAACGTCATAGTATAGCCAGGCATAAAACATCATAGTATAGCCAGGCATAAAACATCATAGTATAGCAAGGCATAAAACATCATAGTATACTAAGACATAAAAATGTCAAAAAAACGTCATAGTATAGTAAGGCATAAAATGCCATAGTATAATAAGGCATATAACTCATAGTATAATAAGGTCATAATAGGTTTATACAAATGACAACCACGACATGTAGCAAAGACTTTCTGTAGAAATGAAGTCAGCGTATGATCTTTGTTGACAAGGTGGTGTCTGCACATTAAGTCTGAGTGTGGAACAGACTGTGTGGAACAAGTGCCGTCACAAGTCTAGCATCTGACTTCTCCTGTAAAAAGTTTCCCACCATTCCCAGGTGTCGACCAGTCGTCTGGTCCAGTCCTTAGTCACAAACGTCGCGGGCCTTCCTCAGCTTTGTAGTCTGCAATGGGAACCTCATTTTGTCTTTGTAGTCGTCAAGCAGAACCTTATTTTGGCAACCACAGTGTTAGAGGGGACAGGTGATTTATGACGCTCTGTTCTTTTCCAGTCTGAGACTTGTTCTGGATGTTGTTATGGTGTCCGCACACGGTTCTCAGTGTGTTAGTACTGGCAGAGCTGGACTGGGGGTCCAGGATTAGCGATCAAAAGACTGAGGGGGGGGTTTGGGGTAAAAGGTTAGAGGTAACATTAGCCCGGCATGCCCAGGTGGTGTGGTTGAAAAGAGACTCCCATCTGTGGTGTGGATGGGTCGAACATGGGCCGTATGTATGTGTGTTTGTGTGTGTGTGGCTTCCAACATGCTGTATATGTGTGTGCATGACTTTTATGGGGTGTACACTTCGTGGTGAACTCCGTCTAGTTGGATCTGAACCGTAACTGATTAGATTTCAGGGTTGAGGATGTGACCTCTGACCTTTTTACAACATCTGCACCCCTGAGTTTTCCTCAACCACATTTCAGCTTCACATTACTCTGTGCCATCAAGTCCATCTGCTTCGTTATGAAGTAAATAAGATGAAAAAAAAAAAAAACAATAAGACAGTTAAAACACAAGTGTACTGGTGTTTAGATTTCAGTTTTATTCACTTCAAATTATTTTTTATAGTAACTTATAATGCATCAAATGTACATTGTGGGAAGAATGTATTCTCATAGCCTGTTTCCAGACCATAAATGAACCTTACTTTGGATAACAGGTCCAAAAAGAGTCCAAAAAAAAAAAAAATTGAATATTTACTATTCCAAGACCACAGAGAAACTCCCAATGTTGTTGAAAATGTGATATGATTGAACACTGGACCTATTATTGTAGTGTAATTTGATCTTAAACATTTAAATATTGATTAAAAGCCAAAATTAATGAGAATTAATGTAGCTTAAAAATGGTTAGATTTAAATGTCATCTGTGTTTATATGTTGGTCTACAGGAAATCTGAAAAGTTTTCAAAAGTGACAAATAAATAAAGACCATATTTCCATCAATAAATACATTTATTGTATTTCTATTGTTTTTCTTTAAACACACTATTTGAGTTTCCTGCCAGCCCTGACACTGATGGTGGTCTCACATGTGGGTGGTCTCATCGTCAGCATCTGTGTCATGTGCCACAGAGATTTGGGCTTCAGGGAGGTTGTTGCACTGCAGGTAGCAGAAAACCACCTGGACCTGAAACACAAACACAGAGAGAGAGAGAGACACATGAACACACAGAAATCATAAGTTTTAAAAAAGTATCACTTAACCTTCACACCACAGCTGAATGTAAATTGTTGGTTAAGTTAGTGACACAAACACTTTTTAATATGTCTTTGCTTAAATAAAAACTCATTAGAAACTCCAAAACCCATTATACAGAGAGGTACAGTGGGTTACATTATAGAATATTGTACAATTTATACATAATTGAATTCCAAGTTGAGATAACTAATTTATGGAAAAAAAATCTCATTTTGATAGCATCAAAAGATAATGTCAATATTTACTTTAATTATTTTATTCAAATAATTATTTATGAATTTCTTTCAGAGTAGATTTTTTTTGTATTTGTTAATTCAATTAAAATAAAATTTAATTAGAATAAGATCTGAAGGGCTGCAATTCTAAAAAAACACAAACAAAAAACTATTACTTAAATTAAATTAGAGAAAATTATTTCTCCAATTCAATTCTTTAATAGAAATTCAGTGAATTCAAAAACTAACACCTGGTGGATATACTTTTTGTTGTTGTTGTTGTTGTTGTTTGTTTGTTTTTATTTAGAGTTAATAAATTTTAATTAAAAAACTACTTTTAGGGTTATTAAAAGGATTCGGTATTTCTCCACATTTTCTAGATGTGACCTCAGTTTTTTATAAACTCTGACTTTCCCTGATCTATGCTAAACAAAGTAAAAAAAAAAAACATTTGGAAAACCAAACACTGTCTCTCACACCCACCTGTACCTCCACCTCCTGAGAGATGTCCACAGCAGGGCCGCCGTGTCCCAGTCCGGCCACAGGGGGGCGTAAAAGGCTCGGACCGAACACTGTGGCCAGGTTCAGGAGGGACATCTTGTTGATGTCCTGCTTCTCAGACACTCTGGGGGAAAATGGATGAGGGGAAATGTGAGGTGCAAGAAACTGGAAGCAACAATGCAGATTCAAATTATCAGCAGCAACATCACAAGTCATTTGGCAGTTGAGGGTGTATGCAACTCTAGAGATGATGTCATTGTCAGTTACTGTCATCAGTTCGGTTTTAATTTTGTTGAATGATGCAGATGTTTTTCATGAATGACACCTCAGTTTAATCTAGGTAATTATTTAAATTATTCTATCGCAGAAACTCAATCTGAGATGAAGCAACGACTGAATTCAGAAGTGATTGTGTGGTGCTGTGTTGTCTGTTGACTCAGACCGTCGGAGGTGGTGCATGAGGTAGAGGAAGGGGTGACGGTTGGCTTCAGGACAGGACTGTAGCAGGGCCAGCATGGAGATGAGCCGTGAGTTTATGTCTTGGATGTCTGAAGAGGAAACAGGTCACATGCAGTTGAGCTGACCTTAAGATTCATTTAGAGGTGTTACAGGTCACGTGTTAACTTTTATCAATCATCTGTGGCTGGTTTTATCTCCAGGTTTTTTTTAAATACCTTTACTGGCAGCAAATGGCCTCTAAAGGTTAGAAAATAACATTTGTTAACGTCACATAAAAGATGCCAAAAAGGGAAACCTTTATATTTATTATATAAGTATATGTAAAGTTTTATATCAAGTGTGTATGTTTTAATGCTACAGATTAAATAAACATTTGTGTTATTCTTTCAGGTTTTGTGTTCTGTCTTGTGTTGTTGATGCGTTGCTCTTACCCAGCGTCGTAGCCAGACTCTGAAACAGCTCAGTGGGTATGAGAGGTTCAGGCAGTTCCCTGAAATACAGTTTGAGAACACCAGAGACAGCGTTCACCTCTGCACTTCTCAGCCTGGTTACTGCTTCACGCAGATCTGAGCGGGACAGGTGATGATGGTTATGATTAGTATTATTGTATCTTCTTTTGGTACACACTCCCCTCTTTATAAGAACAAAAGCCCCGTCATAAAAAATGAGCATGTAGCTGACAGCTCCCGACATGAAGCCTAATGCAACTTAACTTAAGCAACTTTTAATAACTGACCCACTGAGGTTTTGTTCGTCAGACTGTGGTCACTCAGGACCAAACACAAACAACTAAGGCATTGAACAACAAGTCTAAGAGTGTACAGCCATGTTAGCAGCTCACTGAGGTTGCACAGTGGTGCTTTGAGCTAAATGCTAACATCACCATGCTCAGTGTTAATGCTAACATGCTTACAGTCAGCAGACTTAATGTTTAACATCTTGTGTTCGTATGCTAACAGTTGCTAATTAGCACTAAACACAAAGTATAGCTGTGGCTAATGGCTAATGTCATTAGTTTTGCAGGTATTTCTTCATGAATCAGTTCACTGGACAAATAAAAATTATTCTGGACCTTTGTGATTGTGCTTTAGCATGAATTTTAATGCAAAATTTTGGACCCTTAGCGCCTAACGAATTGTCCAAAGCCTCTTTATGGTGCTCTATGAGCTTTTATATTTTTGTTGGTGATGAAGGCTGTTTTCAGCCGTTTGCATTGTTTGATAATGTGAAACTGGGGGGAAACTGTCAAGAGAAGATTGATTGTCAGTGCATTTCACTGGAACCAAATATGAGACATTTGGACAAAGTTTCACCCCCTGTAATGAATCAAAACATGAAGTAAAAAAGTAAAAATAAAAGTCTCCCACGTTTGGGCCCTGATTTCTGGCCTTACTCTGACAAACACCTGTTGTTTCAAGCAATCGGAGAATATGAAATAACAACTGCCGTGTCTGAATTACACTTTTGAGACATAGCAGCACATGCCAGCAGAGAACGGAGGTTTCGCTGTGTGTTTTCTTACTGCTGTTGAACGCAGCTTTGAGCATGTTGATTTCACTGGTGGTTCCTGAGACCCGGTAGATTCCCACCTCATCCATGCCTCTCCTCTCCACCTCCTCCACACTGCATCGCACCACATGGGGCACCAGCACTCCCTCGTGTCTGGCAGAGAATAGAATAGAAAAGTATGAAGAGAAACACCTCCTCAGAATGGGTTGATCGGTTTGATTTCAGACTTCATTCTTGCCACACTTCTGCTTCTTTTCAGCCAACTGTCCCACAAAACAAACCGCCTACTTCCTGAAACTGGCTGTGCGAAATGGGACAGAGGGGAAATTAAGCTGTAGACTCAACTGCAGCTTTCAGTTTCAAGTATTTTAGCCCCCCTCGTGAGCACAGACAGGGTCGGTGTAAACACTTTTGTTGTATTCGAAAGACTGGCAGGGACTTACTGAGCCACACTTTCAATAGGGACACAGAAGACGGGCTGTTGTTGAGCTGTGGAGCTGGGCAGGTTGAGCGGGTGGGGATTGTACTTAAGGGACAGAGTCACTTCCACTTGGCCGAGCTGTAGAGTCTGTCTCCTCCATCGCTTATTCAGGGATTTAGAGTCCAGCTGATAAACACAAATATGTTCAAATCAACATGAAGGCAGGATTTTACAGAAGGACAACATGTTGAGATTTGTATCATGCATCTTAAAATAAATAGTTTGAGTGAGAACCAAGGTTAGAAAACGGTCTAGGTCCACCCACCTCTGTTTTTATGTAGACCTTACATTCTACATGCACACATTGAACATGGTGCTACGGTAGGTAAAAATTTCACTCAAATCACTGACTTGCAGTGGGTGCTAATATATTTTCTTTTTTTAAATCTATTCTTTATATATTTATAGCAGCATTCATTCGTTCTTTCAGCCACTTCGGGGCAGCACAACAAGCTGAAAACACAACATGGACATATTACACATTTACAAACTATTGTTTATGAAGACATTGAGGAGATACGGCGCCATATTAACATTGACTTAGAGTGATGCTTTGGGCCATCCGATGAATTCCAATAGTCCAACATGGTCTCTCCTTTAAGCTCTGTTTTCGGTTTCTACCATCTCTCAAAGGAAATATGTGAGAGTGAACCCAAACAGTAAAGTTGTGGCCCATAAAAACCAAAACAATGAGCTTAAAGACACTAAAATGCTCTGCGGAGCTGAGACGCAACAGGTAATAATAAGCTGAAGCTGAAAGTATCTTCATACCCTGAAAGTAGTTTTTCCCAGGACAGTGTCATCCTGTCTGTCAGACTGACTCACACAGAGCACCTTCACGTTCTGAGCCCCGTCCACCTGGAAAGACAGCTCCTGTTTGAAATAAAGAAGATGTCGTTAACGCTGACACCAAACACTTCAGTGTCCTAAAGCTGCGACAAGAGCATTCATGCCTCACTGTAAGCCTTTCAATCCTGGCTACCAGTTGGATTTAGAGTAGGTTTTACTGCCACTGATCATGTTTAAAGCATGGCCACACTACAGACTTTTTAATCCCCTATAAGTTCAACTGAGGCCTGACATCGCGTCGGATGCTGTCTAGACATGAGGATGTCATTCAGCAACATGGACTGCCTGACAAATCATCTACCAACTGTGTCAAACTATCAGATCTACAAGACCATAAGACGGGCAACCACAGTGTGAGTTTTTAACTCCATAAATAACTTTTCTGTTTCAAGTTTCAAGTTTTCAGACCAAAATAAGATGAACAATTTTGTTTTAAAGTGCCAAAGTCTGACCTGGTCCCAGTGTGGGTTGAGGCTGTGGACTGAAGAGTGTGTCTGGGCCTTTGTATCATAAAACTCATAGCCATCCACTTCCACACACATATAAACACCTGCAAGAAAAGGTGCCAAAAATTATATGACCTTATCATTGACCTGCTCCCAAAGAATTTTAGCTATTCAATTAAACTTTTCTTAGTGTGATGTAAAATATCAAAACATACAGGTTGGTTGTTGCAGGCCCCAGGCAGAGTGAATCGCCACAGTCAGAGTCCCACACAACGACTCCATGTCCTCTACTGGTGGGAGACAGGGACAAAAAAATACCCTAAAGCTCACTGGATTTAACCGACCTGAACTAATCTGAAACTTAGTAAGATGAGAGAGATGTAGGCAGCATGAAGAGATCAGAGTCAGTGTATTTTATTTCAGATTGAGGACGTGTTTCGGTGGACATTAAAACAGTGTGAGTGAGTGAGGTAGATAAAGAGAAATGTTGGTTGTACCAGCGTTGGAGCTTTGTAGTGGTGGTTGCTGGGTCATTCTCAGTTTCACACATGCACTGGTGAGAGTGAGCAAGTCTGGAGGGACTGTTTCTATGTCTGACAAACAACACATGGCAAGAATAGGCACCAAACAGCTGACACAGTGACTAAAGAACGAAAAAACAAAATCACATTACACTTGATACCAAAAGCAGATATATTCCATCACATGGGACAAAAAAGCTGATAATCCTCATATTTAAGAAGCTTGAACCTGAGAATCTTTGACATTTTTGCATGAAAAATTTATGATTAATCGACTATCAAAAAGTGGTGCTGGTTCCAGCATCAATCATGTAAAATTGATATGTATCAGCAGCAGGCATATGAAGAAAACTGTCACACTTTAGTTGATCTTTTTGGACATTTCAAGTTTCTCACCTATGCAGACTGTTAACCAAGTCACAGCTACTCTTTTCACAAGTCTTTCCCATTTAGCTATCACTCCACGGAAACCATGATGGTGTTGAAGCTGCATAGGTGTTAACGCCCAACCCACATAAAGATCCTTCACAGATGACTGTATTTTAGCGTTCGGCCATCTGTTAGCAGAAATGATCTACTGATAGATGGCCAACAATCGTCTTTAAAATTTGGTAAACAGAATGAAGAAATCTAGTAATTCTAGCAATGGCTTCCAGCTTTGCTGTAATGGGAACTTACTATCTGCGGTGAGTTTATGAATGGCTTCTCTCCATTCTTCAAGTTCATACATCGAGGAGAAGAGGAGAGTGTGACTCTGCAGTGAGACAAAACAGATTGCTCTTATCATGCTATTGCTAATACATTTTCTTGAAAATATTAGGGTGTGTGTTAGTATGCGTGTGTGTGTATACCTTGCCACTAGGGCTGTGCAGCTCCAGTCTATAAACAGGAGAGTGTGTGAGCAGCAACAGCTCCATTTGCTCCAGTTTCTTCCTGCTACGAGCCCCCAAGTTCATGCCTCTGACTCCCTTCTTAACAAACACACACACACACATTTTTATATTTCAATCATGTGTTTAAAAAAAAACTGGTCACACTCTTCTTTCTGTATTTGTGTCGCCTTCACATAAACATACTACTTGTTGCTGTAGCTGCTGTCGGAGGATGAACATCTTGGATCTTATGGTGTGTAAGCGGAGGTGTGTGTCAGATGATCGCTCATGATCTGCAACCCAGCGTAGTTTGAGACCAGCGAGAGGCAGATACCAGCAGAACCTGTACTGATCCTGCTTCCTGGAGGAAACACACACAAACAGAATTTTAAAAGAAATTTTTGCAAATGTATTTAAAGGGAGAAACTGAATCATCACATTGACGTTAAATAATTAGACCCTTTGCTATGACACTTAAACATTTACACCTGTTTCTACACCTTGATTAGAGTCCAGCTTTGGTCAATTCTATTGATTAGACATGATTTGGCACACACCTGTCTAAATAAGGTCTCATAGATGACAATGCATATCTTACATACTGTATAAAGTACTGCCACTGAGTGGTAGGTGCTATTAAACTAACTTTTTATCCATTACTTTTAGCTAGTCTAAGCTAACTCTTTATCCATTAATTTTGCTATTTAACAATTAGTTTTATTTTTATTAATGTGTATCTATTATCTTTTGCTAATTCACTGTTTTCCATTACTTTTAGCTAACTATCTGTGCCGCTTATTTATTATTTATCACTTTAAGCTAACGTAATCAATTTATACTTTTACCTTAACTAACTGTTTCAATTGTTTATGCATTACTTTTAGCTAACTGTTTGAGCTGTTTGAAAAGTTTATTGCTTTTAGCCATTTCAACCATTATCCACTTCTTTTATCTGCTTAAACTTCTCTGTTTGCTGGCTTGTAGCAAGTACTTTTCATGCAACATGTGAAAATATTTTTTCAGTGAAATCATAATTTGTATTTTTTCACATTAGCTTAGATACTGAACAAAATGACACCATTTTATGACAAACAGCTGAGAACAAGATACAACATGAGGTGTTGCTACCGTTACATTTTTAATATGTAGACCACATTTCCCACAAGCCCTGGTGTTCTCACCCTCTGGTTGCATGTTTGAATCTGGTGCACAGCAGGAGGTCGGTGTAAAGAAAGAGGTGACGCAGGCTGCGTTCCCCCTCGCTCACATCCACCACAAAGCCGTCACGCATCAGCTGACGCCTCTGGGGTCGATACAAACACACACAAAGGCACGTTATGTACTTGGGGGGCAGTTACTGTACACTGTCAGGTGTGTGTGTGTGTGTGTGGGGGGGGGGGGGGTGCACATGTAAAAATGCATTTAAACACATTTGCATGTTCATCAGACAGATTTTGTACAGACGAGCCTCACCATGCCATGACTGAGCATGACCTCTCGTTTGCATTGTGAACTTTCATTGACACCAGATAGGAAGCTACGAGACAATCGAAGAGCTTCCTGTAAGGCGACGTAATCTGCATGCTCCACTGGTGTCGTCTGCAGGAGGTCCTACAAGGATATAGAAAGGTTGCTCAGTCAGAAAATGCCAGGTGGGGAAAAGAGTAGAAAAAGATCCTACTGCAGGTACTCTGCTTCAATTACGTCCCTGGAGAAAACAGTAGCAGCTATGAAGGTAAAATTGGAGGTTTAGGATTTGAAATGAAATATTAAATGTGAAAGTAAGAAGAATTAATGAAATTAATTATCCAGGGTTTTCTTACACGCAGCACTAGTGTGGTCTTGGTCACTCTGTCCAAAGGCTTGTACAGTAGAGCTGTGAAGGGACAGACAGCAGTCAGACATAAGCAGCCAACAAGTCGTTCTATATAAAAACACATTTAGAGTTTGTACCTTCAAATGTGTATTTGGTCCGAGCTTTGTCTGCACCGTTGTTAGTCATCATGCTCTGAAAAAGCAAGAGACAAAGTGAGGCTGGTAGGGATAATGATATAACTTGTTACTGTAGGTGAGTATTCTTGTATCTTTCCAATCCTCTGGAAATACAGTTGTTAGTACCTCGGCCAGAGTTCGGAAGCGAGGGTCTGACTGTGTGCACTTGTGAACAACTTCAACGGCTTCCTCATAGTTTTCAATGAAACCACCATACAGACCAATCTGGTTCACCTGTGTGAGCAAAATAAAACGGATGAGATACATATTTGATGATTAGGTGTGTGGACATCCATTGATAACAGATTTTAAAACTGTAGAATATCTTTTTGATATTTGCCACATGAAACTTTAAACAAAATTTCCTCAAAAATAATATATTACAATTATGCAGAAAAATTAACACTTTCGCAGATGATGTCATCATTTCCTTTGAATGTGGTTGGTAATCTGGGAGAACCAGAGCCATCCCATGGGGGGCATATATGACCAGAGGGAAAATTTATAGAAAGACTAAAGTTAGAGCTTTTTTCATAGCAGAGATTGAACACAGTTGTGACGTGGGGAACTTGATTCACATGACTTGACTCAAGTCAGACAAGTTTGAGGACTTGAGACTTGTCTGACTAAAACTGATAAAAGACTCAATTTGACTTAGACTTGGTTTGGTTTTACATATGAAACAATATCCATGCACTTATAAAGTGCAAAAAACCTAAACAAAAAAATGTAATCCAAACAAACAAAACAGATTCAATAGAGTATCTCAAGTCATGTTTGTGTCCACCTGGTGAATGAAAGTAAGAATATTCACTCTCCTTTAGCTTTGCTTTGGTCTCCACCAACTCCTGTGGAAAGTATGTGGGACTTTAGCTGCTAAATGATTCACTAAGTTCACCAGCTAGTCTTTAACTTTGTCTTTCTGCCATTTGACCAGGTCGTGTACAGTGGGTTTAACAGAGCTTTTTTGCTAAAAACAAAGGATACAAGCTCTAACTCAACAGAAAACTCACCATTTTCAGAAACAGGTCCCCCACTATCAGCTCAAACCCTGTGTGGCTCATCTGTCTTTCCTCACCCGAGCTTGGATCTGTCTGGCGGTGAGTACTCAGCTGGGCCTTCAGGCCAGAGTAGAAGCTTTGGTGCATGTCTCTGAGCTCGGGCACCTGGTAGAAAACAGTCTGGACCTGTCGACTGGACAGAACTGGCTTGGAGGTCCCGGCTGAGGCCCGCAGAGCCTTCATGGGCTAGATACAAAAAAAAAAGCAGTACAAGGGGAGAGGTGCAAGGTCAACAGTTTAAGTGAGAAGAACATGGAGGACAAAGATAAAGTGGCTGTGGTGAAAATTAGACTGTGTGAACATACTGAATCGAGTGCCCACCAAGCCTCACTCACTTGTGTTTCAGTACCCTCTCAGCTTTGGTACATATATTCTCAAACCACTGCTAAATAAATATAGAATACATTTTCATGAAAAATATGAATAACACCCACACAATGGCTTATGCATATGAGCTACAACAGCACAAACAAAGAACAGCAATAAGAACATCTGAAACACCTGATTCATGTTCATGTTCAGTGTTTTTTAAGTCAAATGAGTCACATCTTGAATGAGAATGAGGAAACAGGGGGTTGCCGTTGCTATTAATAGCACAGAAAAAAGAAATAAGAAATTGTCCAAGGAAACCCCTCCTAAATCAACCCAAACCGCAAAAACATTCTTCTGCTCTCATTGACTAGCGACTGAAATGCTAAAAGCAACAACAAGGATTCTTTTAAAGACAAGTATATGCCAGAGTCTTTCTTGGCCAGGCAACCAGCAGAGGCTCATTTAATCCTACATAAACTGATTATCATTTTTACACTTCTTTTTGAACAAATGAGAAGTAAAGTGTTAATTAGTGAGCTTTAAAGGTGCCTGTACGTGGACTTTTATTAGCTTTGAACAGTGCCAGGCTAGGTGTTTCTCCTTGTTTACAGTCTTTGTGTTAAGATAAGATAACCGTCTGCTTGCTGTAGCTTCATATAAACTGCAAACATGACAGAAGTTTCAATTGAGAAAAAAGGGGAACCCCATTTCTAAGGGAGAACCATCCACCTGTGGTCAGACAAGTAAGCTGAACAATGATGAGGCTAGATATCAGGGCTGTATATGATCTTTAATGACCCAATGTTAACCAGAGGCAGAAAAAACAACTCAGACATAGTAAACGACACATACAAAACAATAAAATGACCTCCTGTGTGTTCATGTAAATTAAAAATAACATATTTGAAGAGTTAATATTGAACAAAAAAAGAGTTACTGGGTGATTCTGGGTGATATATGGTTTAAAAAAAAGCATGTCTAATTTCACGACATGTGTTGTGAGAGTAGAATTGAAATGGGGAAGTTTAACCGTGATGATAATCATATCAACAGGGGTTTTCTCTGCTTTTGCAATATGATTACGCTTGTGGAATAACAAATGTTGAATAACAAGAGTAGAGTTTGTGCTCGTGTTGTACATATAAAAAGTATAAAAAAAGTAAGAAATCAGAATTAATTTTCATGTCTGTCTGTGTGTGTGTGTGTGTGTATGTGTGTGTGTGTGTGTGTGTGTGTGTGTGTGTGTGTGTGTGTGTGTGTGTCTTTGTTAATGTTACCATCAGCAGTGCCTCCAGCTCTCTGAGATAAACCTCCTCACTCTCCAGGATGCCCTTTAGAACCACAAGCCTCCTCTCCAACATTTCCTCCGGGCTGCACGACGTCTGAATCAGACATTCAAACAAAATGTTCATCAGAGTCACTCTCAAATCAGTATCATGACAATTAATTCAGTCAGTCACACTCCAATAGTAACATCTGATACAACAGTAGACATCTGAAATGGCAACAGTCATAACAGTAAGATTTTGAGGTGAGATTTATTTTAATGAGATAAATCCTGGGCCGTCTCTAACAGCTCAGATCAGTTTATCGTAATCAGCCTAATATTTCATTACTTCAATGTTAACTAGGCTACTAATAAACATGAACAGAAAATGACTGTATCTTACACATACAGCAGTGAGTCTGTTGGATCCCAACGAGGTTACAACAATATTAAATTTATTCATTTTTTCAGTTTAATATTATTTTTGGCATTATGTGGTATTCTGTAAAATTCACTAAAATGTAGGTAGATTGATTTCCAATAAGTGGGAGAAGGCAATAACTATTATAAAGTATTGAAAGGTTTTAGGATGCATCTTTATTTGCATCTCAGACCACATGTATGCCGCTTGTGGCCTTGGATCCCTTTCAGTTTTCCTATTGCCATCATGAGAATAAAAGTGCTGAAAGAATTGAACTGCCAACTAGTGAATAATGGAGGAGCTACAGACAGTCGAGTGAGCGATGCAAAAACATTTTGTGATGTGGACGAAATGTGAACTCACAGGGGTGTCGGGGAAGTCTAAACTCTCTGCTTGGAAAGGGGAGAAAATACAGGACGCTGCCTCCTCCTGGAACACATCCTCCTCCAAGACATCAGTCTCTGCTTCCACTACAACTGACACACAAACATGTAATATATGGTAGTACATGGCTGTTATGGAAAATTAAGTTCCCATATCTACTTCCCCTCTTGGAATGTGTACAAATTAGTTGTGGTCGCAAATTTAAAAAAAGATACCTGCTCTTTAACTGAGGTGGATTAAATAGTAGTTTTTAAAGAAGTTTAAATAGCACATACTGTATATATGTATGTATATATAGTGCATTTTAACAAACATCAATGCTTTTCAAATTGGACACTTTGAGTTTTATGTAGGAATATGAAATGCTGAATTCTACAGTCTAATGGTTTCTCCAAAGACAACATATAACGCTTTATAAATTAACTTTCTCCTCCCACAACAAAACACAATGTCTCCATCCCTCACCTGGTACATGTTGGGTCTCCAGATAATGCACAGCCTCCTGGTAGATGTCCATCAGAGCTCGCAGGTCCTCTCCTCACCGAGCAGGTCAGGGTTTTGGAGACGTAGCATGTGAACACAGACAGCTGGCGAAAGAAAACTTCCTCTTTCTGCTAAGGACGCACAAAAGAGGAAAACACAACTTCCTGTCTGAGTGAAGTGCGCTACTGGCACGTTTAATCCTTTCCCACAGTTGCACTTCACTTCCTGTAAATGTGTTAATTTTACTATTCCGATCTTCACCACTGAATATTCCTTCATCAGTTACTGAAATGATGATTGTTTCTTTAACTAGCTGCCATATGACTATATGAGCCTACATTGTGATCATCTTGTATATTTTGCAAGCCAGTACCAGTTTAAAAGTTATAAAAATGTAAAGATATCTAGTGATAAACATATAAAAGTCAATTTTAAAACATGCATAAATTGCACGTATAATACAGTTGAAATATGTGGAAATCAAATTAGCAGGCAACGAATTAACCAACAAACCAATCATTTATTTAGGAAAAAGCTGCACGAGTTTATTCTCCCGTTAAAGATAAAAGGACTGAGTGACCACTAAGAGCAGAGGAACTGTATTAGTCCAACACTGCCCTCTGCAGGAAAAGAGCTGATACAACCTTATTTCATTCACGTATTTTGCCTCGCTGTCTAAGCTGTGGTGGGTGTCAGCTCTTGATTTGTCCCCTAACTGTAGCTGCTGACGTGATGAATGTAAAACCACTCAACCCCTGAGGCTTTCAAACATTTCCTGCAGCAGCATTTCAACAATAGTAGCAATACTTTGCTACTGCCAGTTGTGGTTTGTATTGTCATAGAGCCATTTCTATGCTCTGACGCTGTTTTTTTGAGAGCAATGAAGATTGTTTTTGTAGGATTGTTTTAGTGTTTAAACACATGAATCAGTCTATTCATATGTTGAGGGACCATGTGTTACAAATAAATAATCTGCATTTCAGTGTTTCTCCATTAATTATAAATCAAATATTTTAATTCTACATTTACAAACATTACCGATATGATCAAACATGAAAAGGCACCAGAAGATATTTGTAACTCAATTTTAGGCCGGCGCTTTAAACCTCTTTTAAACCTCCTTTAAACCTTTCTTTGTGGCCACTTGGGGTGGGAACAATCTGTAAATGCAACAGTTACATATCATCACCTTTTTAGGTTGATGTGCTGAATTTTAGCAAATAGTTGCTTGTTTTGCAGATCAACATTATTCATTATCTGCATCTGCCTGATGAATTTAACTGCCATATTCGCTCTCTTTTACCTCTGTTTTTTGGTCTCCACTGATTCCTGAGGGAAATATCTGGCTCATTAGCTGATAAATTCTCCACCATGTTCACGTCTGAAGTCTGGTGCCTGGCAGGTGGTATACTGTGTGTTTATATTTCCTGGACACAGCTCCCTGATGAGAGCTGTGAGGATGAATTAGAAAAGTATGTTGAGGGCCAGAAATCAAAAACAATGAGCTAAAAGAGAATAAAAACCTCTTGAGATACAACATACTCAGTAACAAACTACTCAGTAAAACTTTAAAACTCTTGAAAACAAAGCAACCGTGTCTTATTTTCAGAATATCCTCACATATAATAGAACTTTTTTTGTGTTGAAAAAGGTTTGAAAGTCTGTTTTGTCTTTAATTGGTTTTTCTATCTTACTCAGTTAAAAACACACACACTTTTGCCTTTATGTTTCCCTTCCCTCTGGCCCAATAAGAAAAAGTTAAACAGAAAATAACAAAAACTTCCAGTCCTCCCAGTTTGTACATGTTTAGAAAGACAATATTTTTGAGAGCACTTGAAGGCAACACTACTGTTACCAAGGGGGGCGCTGCATTCCCAAGTTCAGTCATTACAGTTCTACAGTAAGTGAAGATGCATAAAAACATCCATATTATTGATCAGTTTTAAAATGCATTATTATTAATGCTGACTAGCACAGGAAGTGTGTGTGTAGCTTCTCCTCCTGCATTCCTTATTTGACTCTAATTATAAGGAAAATAGGAAATTCCCTGAAAGAGCTGCTCCATTTAAACTCAAGGAAATATTCATTATTTTTTTGTTTGTTATTGGAATTTTTGTTCTCCATATGTTTTGAATTGCTTATTAACACGTTTCATTATCAGTTAACCTGCTTTGCATTGAAGACTACCATACACTGTGTCTGATCAATCTTACACACTCTCCCCAGGAAACTTCATGGAGATTATTTGGAGATTACGGACAAGAAAAATTACACGTCAACCCTGAGTGTAGTGGTGAGTAACTTAATAACTGAACCTGTAAATGTACACTTAACTGAAGTGCTTGTTCTTGACAAGTTTCAATGCTTTGGTAACCCCTGGCTGAACCAAACTCCATTCATCTTTCAGCCAATTTAAGCAGAATACAATGAAAGAAATACCTGCAAAAATAAGTTACTGCGAAATGAATAGCTCTGTCAGAGCACGTCTGGGCACTCCTCCGCAGAGCTATGTGGCGTTGGTAGTGTGAATACTGTGGTTAAAGCTGCCACAGTATTTCAGTTTTAAACATTTCCATTTCCATTTCTTTTCATGCCCAGAATGACTGTTCACAATCTAATATTTAAAAATCGACATTAAAAAGATCGGATCCTCTTTTTTTTAGCTGAATTGTAATTAACCGTAAAGCTTAACCCTAATTTGTGCAGAAGAATCCATTTAAAGCAGCAGAAGTGCTTCAGAGTGCACAACCACATTACATCCATCTGTGATATTTGGCAAACAGGAAATGCTTCTCTTTTTTCTTTGTATTATGTAAATTCACCAAAGTAGTTGAAATATTTTGGTCTGGACCAAAGTGATGGACTGATCATGTTGCTATTGTGGTTACATCAGCCAACGTGAGTAAAAAACAAGCCAGTAAACAAGATAAAGTATAACAATCAACGCTAACCACAATTAAATCATCATAAAAACATTACTTGAAAATTGTAAACTTGTGTAAACCTGTTATTGCCAAAAAGATATGCAAACTGTTTTAAAGTTGCAAAACTATTAAAGAAATTTTGCCCCAGTGCAAGAAAGGAATGACTGCGTTTCACACCCTCAGTTATATTTCTCCCACACATCAACTCAAGTGTGTGGGAGGTGGATTTGCTGGTATCTTGGGTGCAGTGTGAGCAGTTTCTCTCATTAGGCAGTTGTAGCTCTTTTTCAGTGTCTGACTACAAAGAACCTGATGCTGGGACTTGTTTCCCCCCCACTGCTTCAATATCTGTAGGCACTGAAATATGTCCACAGCACCTCGACTTCCTGAATCTTACTTGTAGCTCTGGGTCAGGATGTGGTCTCTGTGGCGTCTACCTGGCTCTGCCTCACTCTTGCACTTGTTGGTTGTTTTCACAATAATCTATGCTGTTCATCTGCAAATGTTATGACAGTGTAAAAGGCATAACAAGGGACAGCGGACTGGTGATCCTCTGACTTTTCCTCTTGCGCCACCATGAGGTTGTCATTTCTGCTTTTTAGTGAAATATCTTGACAGCTATTGGAAGGACTGCCATGGCCCCTCATTAGGATTGTACAGTACGTTCTTGCCTCTGCTCTGATTCTTTTTTTTTTCTTAAATAATTTCATGCATTTGCATTTTACATTTTGATCAAATTTTGGGGGGGGTGCTGTCTTAAAACCATCAACAGAATTTGCCTCATGATTTAAAGTAACTTGTTTTTTGTCCTCTAATAACGCTTAATAATAATAATAATAATAATAAGTAAGCTAGAAGTTTTCTGCACTTTATTTCATTAAGTGTCACCACTTCATCATCTATGACAAACTGGCACAAGATTCTACATTTGTATCTGTTCCTGTGTGATAATCTTTCCAGAAATCAACATTTTTCTTCACAAAGAGAGACTTTCTTAATTTTGAGGTTAAAATATCCCCATTGTAAACCTTACTACAAAGGTGGCTCAAATGAAGGAACACGCCCAATAATTGTGAAAATCCTGTTGTATTGCTGCATCGTTGTCAGGCTGTGCCAGCTTGTGACTGCTGTTCCTGTTTGGCAGTTTACTCTTGTTTCATACCGTTCCCTTTGAAATATTATATATCATATCAAATTTCCAGGATCTCTTAAAATATATATGCAATTCTTAGTAGCATGCAAACTACTTGATGACACACCAAAGGGTTTTTGAATACAAACTTAACTCTTTTTCCATGTGGGTTTCAAACGTGCTATGTTTAACTCTACAAAGTAAATATTTTATCTGTGTGGCTATTTCTGACCTACTACCTTAACTGAGTGGTTGCCCTTTACCTTTTTTAGCTGGTTTGGGACAAAATTAATTCATTAATTAAATCATATAGTCATGCAACAACCTCAAATCAGCACACCTCATTAGCAGTGACGTACACTCACGCACATTTTTCGTGCAATTTTCCAATCAGCAAATCATGTGGCAGCATGCAAAGCAAAAAAATCCTGCAGATATAGGTCAGGAGCTTCAAGTAATGTTCACATCAAACATGTGATCTCAGTGACTTTGACCATACCGTGATTGCCGGTGCCAGATCAGGTAGTTTGAGTGTTTCTGAAAGAGCTGAACAGTCTTTCCGACATCTTGTTGAAACCGCGCCACCAAGAACTGAGGCTGTTTTGGGAGCAAAGGGAGGCCCTGCCCAGTATTAGTGTGGTGTTCCTAATAAAGTGCTCAGTGAGTGTGTAAGTACTACACATTTTTTGACTCTGCAGTGGATAAAAAAGATCATTAAAGTTCTTAATTTTGTGCAGACATGTAGACCTGACATGTAAAGCAGTATGCACACAGACTAAACTGTTTCCTTATCTGTCCTGTGGTCTGATCGCATCAGTCAAACCTCGACATGATTCACTGATCAAGAATTGCAGTCAAACTTTTCAATTTGTATGTATAGAAAACATTTTATTTACTTTCAACGTCATGAATAAAGACAGAGGTGAGAAACTGGGGAACGTTTGTGACGAGGACTCGGTGAAAAGGAGAGTTTCAGCTGCTCAACATAATAATGTGACTTGGCGAAGATGCTGTGATGTGTTGTTGTGTCAATAAAAGAACATTTGAAGTTTCTAAAGGCTGGACACACATTATTGGTTATTGCTATATTGAGATAATATATCATATGTGTATACTGTTTGTTTTTCTTTTCACACAGGTTAAACTCATCTCAGGTGAGAAATCACACTGTGATAGCTGTGAGCTTGCTGCCTGCAACATCAGTATGTTATTGGCAAGAGTGAAACAAAGGCCAAACAAGAACCTGACATAACGTCATTCATATCATGACATTCAAACTGGCTGTAACAGTGAGTCTATGGCTTTAAACAGCAACATTAAGTAAACAAAACAGCTAAATTCTAAATTCTTGGCATTACAAACAGAAACGCGCTACTATACTGAGTATGTTTATGACGCTCAGTGCTGGCTGCTACATATTATGTGCAAAAGTATAAAATCAAGCTGAGGGTATTTTTTTTGTCTACATCTGTCTTCCTCATAATACTGCTCAAACAACAAACAGAAAAAAACGTGTTTTGAACCTTACAAAAGAAAAATAACTCCTTATTAAGACCAACAGTAAACATGTCACATTCCCTCTAACTAAAATGGCAGCGCACTAAATATTGACGACCTGTGTGGTGACCACTGCAGCGTTGACGGGCATGCTGCGCCTGATCTTCAACTCGCGATTCATCTGGCACCAGACGCATTCGTAGCACCAGAACAACAAACAGCAGTCTTCACAGCATGAGCCCTGCAGGAGGAAGATGAAGAGGAAGAGAGAGAGAGAGAGAGAGAGAGAAGGGATTAATCCAGCAGTCTGATGTACGGACTTATTTACAAAAATTTACTAAACCTACTTAAATAATGCAATAAAAAGTGGATTTTTTACACTTTAGCAGGATATTTAGTGACTCTGCAGATGTCATTAAGCTTAAATATGCTAAACTGCTCTGTAGAACTGAGGGGAAACTGCAGAGTTGAGTGATAAATCCCCTGACGGAGTTTCCTCTCCTGCAGTCGTCAGTTAGTGACACACATATCCCTGTTTGTGGAGCAAACTTTTGTTTTCAATAGACAACTGTTACTTTGAGCAATCACAAGCAATTAGTTGCATGATGAAAAGGACAATTCATTTCTTATCAGCCAAGAGGGCCTCAGGGCAAGGCTGTATGAACTGCTGGGTAGAGATTTCTGATTGTGGTTTGATAAGAGCTTCAGCCATCGCTGCATTAATAAGAGATTAACATACGCCCTCTGAGAAGCGCTACTTCTTCAAGGCAGATTGGAGGCTACAGCGAGTCACTGTTGGAAAGTGATGAGATGGGCTAGCTGGTTAGCGTGCTAACTTCAGTAGAAGAAAAGAAGTGATTGAGACAAGAGTTAATATTTCTCGCAACGTTTCCACAACGTTTCCACTCATGTTCATCACCGACTGATGAAAGGTGCTACAAAAGTACATCCTTAAAGACTTATCTCTCGAATATAGCATTTTCAAAATGACTCCAATTTGACTAAAAGTCTGCAACACCATTTGTGTGAGTGTGAACCAATGTGCACATTGTACTTAGTAGTAATATTTGGGTGGTGAAAATTGAGGAAATGTTGCATCTCACATCTGCACATTTAAAATGACACTGGTGACAATGACAATGAAACTGTCCCAAAGCAAACCGCACGCACAGCTTTTACTGGATGTTGGTTAGTGGTTGTCCTGCACAGGCACTTCCTCACTTGTGGGCAAAGACTTGTTGTTTTTTATAGCTGAACTAGAGACATTAAATTACAACACTTTTTGCCATGTTTCTCAGAATAAAAAATCTCGTATGTGCGATGGCAATGTAGATATTTGATTCATCTTGCAGCCCTTATTGTGTCATTTATAACTACAGCTTACACACAACGCTTAGCAAACACACACATATCCACTGAGAAAAGGCACAATTATTAATCGGAAAAAAAGCCCTAGCCCCATGTATAACACCCTCCCTCCCAAACCCGGCCTTACAGGGATGCCGTGGCGTTCTCTAATGGTGGCACGGAGTAAGCAGGACACCACACAGCAGTAGTCCAGGCATGGCATGCAGCAGCACCAACCATTCAAAGCGGCTGTCTGACACTGCATGCAAGGAAAACACCAAAGACCACAGCAACCTTCAGGGCAGAGGAGAGAGAATAGAACATGTGAACTTTGACGTTATTAAGATTGCACCTTAAGGTGTTAAAAATATATCTCTCGCTTGTTTTGGATGAAACACAACTGTGATGAATCTCATCTATAAAGTCACAGAAATTTCACACTGATATTTCCCGGAATACAGCAGTCAACCCAGTGAAACTGGTATTTATGATCTTCAGCTGTATTTCAAGAGGAACTTCACCGCTTTCATACATACAGGTCGTTTTGATGGTCGTGAGTCAGGAGCGCTACTAATCCTGTGCCAACAGCTGTAAACTCTTGTTTTGTAGAGGAGCTTTGGCAGGTCTGAGAAAATAACGCAAGAACAATATGTAAGAAATGAATCCTAAATAATTTTTTGTTTCCTTCATAGATACCTGATACTTTTTCTTTGTATCTTACCTACAAAGAGCACTGTGCCACTTCTAGCATCTTTTTAGAAGAATATCAGCATTCAGTACAAACATAAAGCCGCAAATCTTTTATCCAGCCATGAGCAGGTGTTCCTTTCTTGCGCTCAGCCTTAACAAATAAAGTGGGGCAGCCTTTATGCTGCCTGAGAGTCAAAGGTCAGGGCATAAAAAAATGTGCCAAGCACTGGCTGCTGTTCATTCAGCTTACTGGTTTAAGCAACTGTAAATCCAGCTCCAGTTATGTTCAGGTGTTTATTTTCTGTCTCATCTGGTTACACTCAAATGTTGTGAATGTGAAATTTCAGCCTCAGTTTTTTCTTGGTATTTGTCTTTTGTTTTTGTTGTTTTTGCTGCGTCCCAGATCAAGAGTGAACTTTGAGCCACAGCTTGTCTGCCAACTTGGACGCCAAAATGTAAATTTGAACATCTGAATTTCCATGACAACTGGGCAAACTCCATCTGCTGGTGTAGATAGTGTGAAATGATCAGTTTCCGAACGGACAGAGTGGTGAGATTATTAGTTTATTCAGGAAAGAGTTTCTGCTTATGGGAAGATGTCTCTACCACTGTACCATACAGTGGACTGGAAACCAGGTCTATGGTTATAATTGGTGCATTTGGTGAGCAACATGACTGCTTTATTGCTCTTAGTTATGTAGACTTACAGGTTTCCATATCAGAGCAGCAATCACAGAGGCCAGTGCTCCATGCTCCACTGGTGTGGGTGGTGGTGGTTGTCACCATCATCATCTGCGCTGGCTGCTGGTAAACGGCCATGCCTGGAGGATACGGGGCAGAAATGAAGGGGGAAAGTGTGGGAAAGGCTCCATACACAGGAGGAAGAAAGACTGTCACAGTGTAACAGTATAACATGTACTGTAACGCAGTGTTTTGCCATCCATGTAAGCTACAACTATGTGTTCATCACTACATCTTCCTGAGCAACCATAATAAAGACAAACCTAAAACAGAATCGTTGGGACTGTGCTGGTGCTAAAGCCATCCTTGTTAGGGACTTGCAGCACCTCCACTCACACTCCCCATGAAAATCAACAGTAGTCAGAATTTATGTTGCAATGCATTCATATCAAATGCTAATCTCTTTCACATCTCTTCACATCTCTCTTTTTCAAAATGTATGTAGATGCCTCTGATCTCAACCACATTCAGCACCTTTTCGAATAAACAAGAAAGCCAGTACGACACAGACCTTACTGCCCAACACCAGCCGAACAATTACATTTGGTAGGTGTGGGATGTGAACTGTGAAACCATAAAAATATGTCTAACATATGAGGTCTTTACATACCGTGTATGCAGTTATTGCATTGTACCCTGTTTATGTCTTTGTGTGTATAAATAATATGACAATATGGGTAATACTCTTATGGCAACTTTTAATGTTTACATTATTCCTGCACCAAAGTGATGCATTTAACTTGATGGACTGGACAATGACAAACTGTCTTTCACGGATTTATCCAATAGTTTAAAAAAGATTTGTTACTTCTGATATATGATATAAAATTACACACAGCTAGATAGAGGAGTTTATACATATTGCCCATCACTTATTTTCAGTGCTTAATCACATCTTCCATTATTCATTGAGTCTGACAGTTCACACTAAGATATATGCAGCTATCATTGTTAGTGTTAGCGTTAGCTTCAGTAAATGTTATGGCTCACTTGCTCCGTCAAGCACAGCAATGAGTTAGCTTACTAGATATCTGAATGTACGAAGAGATATTCAAATGTTGTCAAATAAAATCAAATTTAGTGAGGTGAAAAGATAAAATAGGACATTCTGTTACGTCATAACCCCACTGCATTGAAAGTAGTTGATTTCATAGAGGTACAGATTTTATATTTATTTTTCTACATGAAATGAAAGAACACGCTAATCGTTGATGATATCAAGCAAACCAACCGAAAAGTAGGACAAACTTGTAATTACAGCAACTATCAAGTGCATGACAATAAACTAATAAATGACCTTATTAAAAAACTCCCTATAGGCCACACATCAGCCAAAGACTACCACGTGTCCTATATATGCTAATAAACAAACCTTTTCTTACCTTTTCTCTGACAAACTTTAGAGAGACGTGTTCAGTTAACGTGAGCAGCGCCAACAGTGTCTGCTTCACTTCACCTGGAGTTGTTGTGAGAGAAAAAAAAAATAAAAGCTCATTTGTGTGTTTCAGGAAAACCAGCTCTCGTGCCCACACCGTGCACGCGACTCGTCACATCAAGCTATACACTATAACATGTTGTCAAAATGCGAACTAACAATTTACATGAGCAGAATAACTTTAACTCACAATAATCCCTTTGTAAGTGATAAGTTAATAATAATAATGATAACAAAAAAAGGTAACGCAGTTCAAAATGTGTTAACCTCAGATAGACCAACTGGAGGCTGAAGAAAATTCAAAGTAAAACAACAGCAGACTGGTGCACTCAAAAGTTAAAATATAGATATGGCTTTAAGTTTAAATGGCGTGTGACAATGATAAATCACAATAAAACTTAAAACTCATTTAGTAGATGCAAACTATCCCCCTGTATAACATAGCAGGGACGTTACAAACAGGTCATTAAACAGTAAAAAGTAAATTTACTTACTAGTATTATGACTAATAAAATATGTAAGTAAAACAAACTGTATGATAATGCTGCGTTCACGTACTGTCGGATTTTAATCTTCATGATGAATAGAGCACCTTAATAACTCTGCATTAATTTTAGTAGTTAGACAAATATTAGAGTTTTTTAATTTAATTGAAGATCTACATTATTGTTGGTAGACTTTTGTTTCATTTTTTTTAGAACAGACCATAAAAGCCATAAACCAGTGGAGCCATTCTTTTCTGTTATTATGTGTATTTACTTGTTTTAATACCTGCTTTGTGCACTTGGTGGTGTAATGAGCTCAGGAATGAGTTGGGGGTTGGTTTCTGTGTTTTTAGACAGAATATCTCATCATATACAGCTACAGCACTCATTATGTATTGATCATCTAATAAAGGATTATCTATTTTTTACAGTCTACTGGTGATCTATATGGTGAGATAAGTGGAATTAAACAAAAATGTTTATAAATGGAGAGAAATTACAGCAGCAATTCTGCCTCTGCAACATGAAGTGACTCTTGTATATATATACCCCCCACCCCCAACCTGAGCAGAGGTCTAATCAACCAGATTAAGTGAAAACATGTATGAGTGTGTTTGAGGGTTGATCACAAGATGATGAAATCTTTGCAGAGGAGCTGCAATTTCATAATTTCCACTACTGAGATTAGCACATCCGAGCTACTGTACTTTTACTGCCTCTTTTATCTGCAAGACATTATTGTGCATCAGATACAGTAACACTACACACACCATGATACGGCTGTGTGTGCTTCACTTTATGATCTGAGTGAGGTGACAGGCAGTGAGAAGGTTCAGGGGCTTTCTATGCATCTCTTTCCAGGGACCTATTATCTCATTATTTGCCCCATGGGCGGATCTGCACACTGACAGCTCAGGCTGTGTTGTATATTATCAGTCATCACTCAGGTTTCAGTCAAGTTTGGTCACATTGGCACGAGTGTTAATGAAACTTTGCTCTGCTTCTCATCCACTTCTAGTGAAGAGCAGCAACAGCACCTCTGGCCGGCCAGCTGCTGAGCTCACAGCCATCTGACATCATGTCACTGCTCTGCAATAACATTTTAAAGCAGAGGACAAGTCAGCCATAACACTTAATATGACAGGTAGTAAATGGAATATCAAAATGTGTCAAAAGCTTTTATAAAAATTTGCCTTTCCATTTAAAATCCAATTACTTCTTAATTTTAAAGACAAACTAAAGAAATATTTTTATTTATTTATAATGGTTGGGGTTAGAGGCTATAGGAAATACATTGTCACCATTGTCATGTCACCGAGGGTCCTCACAAGTATAGATTGACAAGTGTGTGTGTGTGTGTGTGTGTGTGTGTGTGTGTGATAGACAGAGAGAGAGAAAGAGAGAGACTGAGAGAGACTGAGAGAGACAGAGGGAAACGTGAGCTGTGGTGTCACTGAGTCATTTTTCAGTGAGACAGCAGTGAGAGAGGATCATGCGGCGGATAAGCCTTCTTTCCCATCAGCTCCATTCTCATCATCGCCTTCATTCTCATCACCATCATCATTATCCCATAAATCCAACCAAGCCCAGCTGAGGAATAATGTCAGGGAACAACACCACGGGGACGACACAGGTGAGCGACTACACTTGCGTGCGCTTTTACGTGTCTACCGTGTCCTTCTCGGTGCTTCTCTTCTTCAACCTCATCATCAACTGGTCGATAGTTCGCGAGGAGCGGCTCCGGCGTCATGCCCGCTTCGTGCTGGTGTTCCACCTGCTGGTGTCCGCGCTGGTTCACCTGGGCATGAGCAGCGTCTTCTACTACCAGATCCACCTGGGCGCGCGGCCGGGGCGCAGCGCCTGCCTGGTCATGATCATTGTTCTGATCAGCAGCGCCTCCAACATCCTCCTGACGCTCACGGTGATGGCTCTGGACCGCTACTGCGCCGTGTGCCACCCGATGCGCTACAGCGCCTCCTGCACCGTGGGGCACTGGCCCTGGCTGCTGGGTGTGCTCACCTGGATGCTGGCTTTGGTCATCCCGCTCACTCTGCTCCTCCAGCCGGACTCCCAGGCCAGCAGAGACGATTATCACGGGGAGTGCGGCCAGGAGAAGCTGAGGAAAGGCGGACTGCAGAAGGTGGTGTTCATTGGTTTGTGCACGGTGCTCATACTGTACAGCTATGTGAGGATACTGGTGGAGGGGAGGCGGTTAGGGGTGCTCAATCGGCGCAACCGGGCCGGGTGTAGGACGATCGCCCTGCACGGCACCCAGCTGGCCGTTTACATCCTCCCCAACTTCGTGAGCTTCGTGCTGACGACTCTGTACGAACGAAAGTTCATTCAGACAGAGACCAAAGAGCTGTCCGCCGTGGTTATCTTTGCTTTCTTCAGTTTGGCGCAGTGTGTTGCGCCAGTTATTTACGGTTTGCGCAAAGAGGAACTAATGGAGCAGCTGAGTCACAGGTTCCCCTGCTGCTCCAGATACTTGAAGAGTGTCCTCGGCTGGACTGTGCGAGCCAGCTGGCAACACCCTCATCACAGAGCAAGGTATGTCCCACCGGCTGCGTTCATCTACATGTGGTCCTTCCCCACAGACATCAGGGCGCCTCTTTCTCACAAGAAAGAGTAACTTCTGTAACTTCCAACTAAAGACTATTAATGATGAACACATCATTATAAGCGTTAAATTAGTAACTTTGGGGTTGCCAGGTTGTGATCTTTGTTGGTGGTGAGTCATTAACTGTAAAAGCAGCTCCACAGTCACATTTGGTCTTCACAAGTGTGTCATCTACCATAATGGGCGATAGCAATAGTTTGGAAGTCATGACCAATATGTTGCTAAATCACTGATGAACGACTTTTACAATAATGAATCAAGTTTACAGTTGAAAAGACTGAAGACTGGTTTTTAAATGGATTGCAGTTCTTCCAGGAGATCACAGCTAAAAAAAACACAAAGCAAGTGTCTGTTGGAGGAGGGAAAGCACCAGGAGGAGATTTCACAACCTGGCAATCCAAACTTAGTTCACACCTGATCAACAAAACACCTGTTAATTACTTTTTTTTTTAACAATTAAATAAGACATTAGTTACAACTTCATCAGAAAGTGGTGTCAGAATGGATGAAGTAAAACCACTTAATTTAACAAAAACATTTTTCTAATATGTGGACATTTGAATATGGAAAAAAATCAGAAGTGTGGGGGGAAATATCTGTTAATTGAAATTTCCACATCCAAAGAAAACACTGTCACATGAAGTCACATGAAATGTCGGCCTAGATTGGAAAAACAGCCAACTCATTCAAAACACACTTGTGGTTTACAGCTTTTTTTTTTTTTTAGCAATAAGCCACATGGAGTAGATGAATAGCAGGGGTGTAGATAGATTTATTCACCCTGTGCACAGCAGGTGGTGGGCACCTTCACTTTCTTCTTCTGTCCACTATTATTCACTTATGTTAGCTTAGCATAAAGAACAAAATAGCTAGCCTGAAGGTAACCATCTCCGCCCACTGGCACTTCTAAGGCTCAGTAACTTAAACATTATACCTTGTTTGTTTAATCAATGCATTTTGCATTATTTCCTGAAAAGTAAACCTTGAACACAGACATGAGAGTTGATCTTCTCAACTAACCCTTTGCGAAAAAGCAAATAATTATTTATTAAAATGACTAACTGTTTCTTAAACGGTTAAGGGGTCACAAGAAACCTATGTATTTATAAATATTTGATGACAAGAAACTGAATCAAGTGTTAAAATCTAAAAATCTTCCCTCTTTAGAGTGGAATTCTTTAGGATGATTAATAACAAGAAAATGTCACTTAATCGAAAGAAACGTGTAAAACAATTCATTTGCATATAAGCTTTACTATTATTGTGACTACTGCTACTACTATGACTAAAAGTGAAGTTAAAATGGACAGTAACCTCATCTGGATATAAAATACTTCCCTTTTAAGTGTTTTGGAGGTGTGACATCTCGCCACAGAAACACCACAGAAAGGGCACGAGTTAATTCCTGAAGCTCTGGTGTAATTTTAACTTCTATTCACTGTCTTCTTCCCTTCAGGGAGCGAACGCTGACGGCCCAGACCATCATCTCCCTAGAAGTTTCGCAAGTCCCAGCGCAGGAGGAGGAAACTAGGAGTTGCTCACATGACTCACTCTCATGTCAAGGTGATACGAGCAATGCCTGATGGGGGAAACAGCGGGTCAGGATGTCGACTGGCACAGGAACATTTGGATACATGGCTGGTTTTTTTCTCAGCTCAGGCCTGAAAGGAACTAAAGGGATCTCCCGGGACTTCATAAACCCCCCCGGTCGGTCAGGAGATTTAGACCAGGATGCGCAGCGAGCGACTCGGGACATCAGCATGTTTATGTTGTGCTCTATTTTTGACCACTTGTCTCAGACATGCGGGTTCACAGTGGAGCGGATCAGTGACCAGCAGAGTGTGGTTGCAGAGGCGGCGGACAGTTCTCTTACTGTAGATTTCTCAGGCTGGTCCAGAGATGTAAGATTCAAGTCTTCAGGTCACAAACACAACTTCTCTGACCTCGGGACTGCAAACAGGCCTGCATCACGTGGGATTAAAAATGACTGGGATGGAGGATGTGATCTCACATGTCGTCTGGTGAATGTTGTTTCCATGTGTTCTTAACCTTGTGGACATTAAAAGTTGTAAGTTTAATGGCCTTGATCCGCTTGAATATTTCCATCACCCTGAAACCAGAAGAGGGAAACGGTCACATACATTCAACATGGAAGTAAATACTAACAAATACATGAAGACATCTCATGGTTGATATTACATCTTTATCAAAATCATTTGATAACATTTAGAAACAGGTAAATATTTTTGGAAAAATGCTTATTCACTTTCCTGTAAAGTTAGATGAGAAGATCAATACCACTCTCGATAGGTGCAGGCAGATTGATCGATTAATGTATTGATATTACAAAGTTTTTTCAGTCACTCTGCTGCTGTTGTGTGGATGCATACACATTTGTTATTTATCATTAAAAGATTTTTTTCACATCTATGTGATTACGTAGTTGACAGAGAAAAGTAACAAGAAATGTCGAACTTTGTCAAATTATTCAGATATTCAGAAGTAGTATACTAATTAATAATACATTCACTTCATAAATCGTTACATATTAATCTCCCCTGCATGATATTATTATTAGCTGCTTTTAATAATAAAACAGTATCAATATCGGTATTGATATTGTTGATCCTACTTGGTATCGACCAAAACCGACCGGTTCCTACAACCAGGAGATACTTAAATTAAGTAAGCATCCAAACATCGCTTCCTAGCGCCTGTAAAAGCTCACAAATTAACAAGTTACATCTCATAAAATGTCATTTTAAAAAATAACTATAATAATAATAATAAACATTAATTGTATAGCACCTTTCATACAAGAAATTCAGCTCAAAGTGCTTTACAGCTGAGAAATCACAAGCACCAAGTGCCTCACATGAAAAAAGAGAAAATTATCATAAAAAGTTGTTTAAAAAAACTTGTTTAGTACGGATTTAACAAACAGCAGAATTTGTTCAGAGGCTTTAGAGGTACTGACGGATGAGTTTGTTTAGTTCAGACAGAGCCAGGCTAGCTGTTTCCCGTCTTTATGCTAAGCTAAGCTAACTGTGTCCAGGCTTTAGTTTCACATGTAAAGGACACCCATTACATCGATACCATGATCCAGCTTCTCATCTGTAGATAACTATCGGCATGAAAGTGAATTTACATATTTCTCAAAATGTTCAGGGGTGCAACTTGTAATTATTTTCTTAATTACTCACTTGTTGTCTACATTATGCCTCAAATGAGTGATAAAAAAATGCCTGTTATAAGTTCCCAGAGCTCCAAAATGACATTTTCAAAATGTCTTTTTTTCAAACCAAGATATTCAATTCACAATGATCCGCAACGGAGCAAAGCAAGAGATCCTCACATTTGAGAAACTGCAACCAAAGAATATTCAGCATTTTTGCCTGAAAAATGACAATTCATATTTTGTCAATATATTAATCCACTAACCATCGAAACTTAACTTCACTTTAAATACAAAATAGCTTTAGTTTAACACTATATTGAGCTAGGTAATGGCTCTTATGGAGAATGAATTGAAAATCTAAAAACTTTCTCAAAGCAAAGCTGACTTTTGTTTTAATCTTTGTTTGTTTGAATGCTTCCTCACTTTCAAGATTTACCACAGAAAAAAGACCTTATAGCATCTACAGGCAAGCAAAGACTGCCATCTTGGTTGACTTGTGGCACGGTTGCACTTGAGTCTGTCAGGTATTTTTTTTAGTCAGACAAGTCGGGGCCACACACCAGGGAAATTCTCAACGTTTTAACCACATGGCTCATGAAGCTGCACCGCAGCCCTCATCATCTCTAGACTAACCCCCACAGAAGTTACACTTGACAAGTCTGCATATAAGGGCAGGAAGGGGTTCCTGTTTGTATTGTACAACGGCATCTCTGCCCCGGAATACATGTGGTGGCAAAGCGCTTACTGCCATTCCTGTAAAGTGTTGTTACCCTGGAAGAGTCTGGGCTGCAGAAGTGAAAGCAAAGTTGCAGATTATAATGAATACAACAGAAATAGGAAGTGTGGCAGGAAGGGAGTGAAAACATTTCTTTAATAGGATTTTTTTTTCTTTTCCTTTTCTGCTGCACTTCAATATTTAATCGGTTTTTACCAGTTAAAAAAAAGTTGTTCAAGAAAAAAACTGAAGAAAGTCAACTCTGGTCAGGCAGAGCCCTGACAAATGACAAAAAGTATCAGATAAACAGATAGACAGCCAGATCAATAGGTTCTTTATTTGTTATTCCCAATAGAACTGTGTTGTTAAAACCAAAAAGCTCAAAGCAAATCTGCACAAACATTGCAACTCCAACAAAACAGCTGAGACAATCATCATATGTAACAGCAGCACTCCTTGTCACAATACAAACTTGCAGATATCTTAAGTTTAATGGAAGCTGTACAGTCAGTCATAAACCCTAAGTCTGAGCAACTATTTACAGTTAATGATGCCCGCTACCTTTAGCTGAGAAAACAAACACTCCGTCTTTCGAAACTAATGTGACGGGCATTAGTAAAGAGTAGAGAATGAGACCTGCACATCTTGTGCTTGACTCAAGTCATAGCAGGAACTTCAAACAGCATCTGTGGACCGGTTTGTAAGGCAAAGGCTTTGCTCCTGATATTTAATGCGTCTGTGATGAGCACCAAGTGAGCTTAATCAACATGCAGAAAGGCATTAAAGCACATAAACACCACACCATTATATATACTGTACATCTGAACACAATGTAGATAAGTGTACAAATTCAAAGGCAAAATCTGTCCTTTAAAATACCTTTGTATATAAATTAAACTGCTTAAAACACATTAGTTCAATACTATTCACTGGCCTCTTTAAGTTGCATTGTTGTTGTTGTTGTTGTTCTTACGTTTAGTCATCAGACAAAAATAACAGCTTTACTGTTTCAGCAGAATAAATGATGAAACCTTTCAATCAGTTGCAGTTATGAAGGCGAAGAGATAAAGTAAATGGTGCATTTAAAAGCTCCATGCACACATTCGAGACATTCTGTCATCAATGGTTAACTTCAGGTAGTAGGGTTGAAAAATCTGTGGATTTTTTGTACCTATTGTCCGATTTCTACGTCATATTGATAAAAACTTCAGCTAAAATTAAGACCTCCAGCCCAATTTCTAGAGGTTATTAGTTGGAATAAAATAAATAAATGACAGAAATACAGGTTCGCAAAGAGACCAAAGCTGATAATAATCAAGATAACGCATTATAACGAACCCATAAGTTTCAAATTGTGATTCCTTGGTAAAAGATATGAATCATATCAGCCCTAGGTTGCAAACGCAGATCACTACAAGAATGCTTAATCTTAAAGCTCCGAAAAGGCGCCACAGTGCAGAAAAGGGGTGCCCATGTGAGCGTGTTCACCGAGGTGTCATTTTTACATCACTGCCGATCAGAGCTGGAGCCGATAATTGGCCGTGACCACTGCAGAGTCATTTGACCCGGGACTGAATGCCGATTGTACCCTTTTCACGGTGACGACAAAAGCCAGATGTTAGTGGGTGTTGGCGGATTTTCTGTCCAGTGTAAAAGGGGCTATAGAGAACGGATTGAATTGCTCAGGAGGCAGAGTGGGTCGTCCACATGTCACACCATCTTTGGGAGGCGAGACACTGAACCCCAAATTGCTCCTGATAGTCAGATCACCCCCTTTTGCATGATAGCTCGCTGCCACCAGTGTGTGTGTGAGTGAGTGAGTGAGTGAGCGCTTTAAAAATGCAGCCATTTTACCATTTACCACTGATGTGTGATGGAGCAATAAAAGTTGATCAAGTCTGAGGGAATTTGGTGCGGATGACCCAGAATCTGGTGAGAGATGGAGGGAAATGAAGATTAAAAAAAAAAAAAAAGGGGAGTGTGGTGCGTTTAGAAACCCAGGGGGTGAGGAGAAACCACTCCTCCGTTCTCCACCATGGCTGTAGAGATGGAGCGCAGGTTCTTGAAGAGCCGCCTGGAGTCGCTGGAGTGCAGAGTCTTGATGTCGCGTGTGACCCTCTCATAGGCCTGAGGGATGAAGGGAGCATTAAAGCGAGTTCAAATGTTTCATTCACGACGCCAAACCATTTAAGAAGTGTGAGAGCTTTTTGGATTCAAGACTAGATGGAAAATGATGGATAAAAGATGGGCTTACTGGGTTTACTGACTGATAAGTAATGATACGTGAGTTTGAACTTGATTTCTTGGAGAAGTGGCATTTGCACGTGAACCGGAGCTGTGTAGTAATCTATTATCAGCTGGTTCGGGAGTCAATGAGTGAATAGCTGTGGCCTCCTACTGTCAATATTATCCAGGTTAAAACTATTGTAATGTTTTCAGAATCACACAGACTCATCTAAACAAGTCATCAAAATTTAGGATTATAATAATTTCGGGCATTTGTGTCAGCGTGTGTCTTACCTCCATACACCAGCTCTCACACAGCATCTTTTCGTGCTGAGCTGAGGCATGGCCCTGACTCAGAGAGCGTGAAGCCCTGCAGAGGAGAGGAAAAACACATGAGAAACGTCTCTCTCTGTGGCGTAGGAGTGTTCGTGTGGAAACAAAGGCCATAAAGAAAATGAGTTGGAGTGCACAGCATGAGAAGAAGAGTGAAGGAGTAAAAAGGGGACAGAGTTAAAGGTCGTGAGGAAGAAAAAAAAAAGAAGAAGAAAAAAAAAAAAAGCTGACTGAGTTTTGAATTTGAATGTTTGCGTACCGGGACAGGACGACCACCATGGCGTACAGGTCAATGGCACAGTCCGCGACTCTCTTCAGCACAAACTGTTCATCTGAAACAGGACAGTGCTTGTTCAGATGACTTATCACAAACGTATTACACTATCACAAAAGAAACATACCTGCAGACAGTTCGGGGTTTTCTCTACGTTTTTTTTTTTTTTTTTTTTAAATTCAGCACCTACAAGAGTTTTTCTCACCTTCACACATGCACACGCTCTCACTTACCAATGATCTTCTTGCCATGTTTTATAAGCAGTTCCTCAACGACGGCTCCGAACTGTTCGATGGCTTTAACTGTCTAAAAAGCAAAAAAATAATAAAAAATAAAACACACACACAATGGT